GTCTGCTTAGCAATGAACCTACATCATTTAAAGTGGAGGCTCATTCAATTTACCCTGGCCTGCAGTATTTTTGTTTTTCATCTGGTTCTACCGAAAATAATATATACATTTCATGAAGAAACCTATGGTGTGGAGTCGCCCTTCAGGTAATTTGAGAGAGCAGCATCTAATCAGCACACTGGGAGTTAAAGAAAATTCTCGTATTAGGTGTACAAAAAAGGGGGGGAAATCCAGATAAGTTGAAGACCGTTTCAAATTCTGCTGTGGTTCCCAAATCCTCTTGGTACTTATTTTGGGGAAAAGCTGAGTTCCCTGGAACAGCGTGCTTCTGAGGCCCACATTATACACTTCAAACCCCTGCCGAAAGGCAGTTCAAACTTGCTTATATCCAGAAAAACCCTCAAAATAGCCATGATTATTTTGACAAGCCCTCCATGAAGAATGCTCTTGGAAACCACTTGGTAACCTCTGTTGGTTCTAGGGCGAGGCACGAGCTTTCTGTGCCCAGCACAAAATTAAAAATAAAACACAGCCTCTGCTGCCAAAGAACCTGCAGTCTAGCTGGGGACTAACACATCGACGAAATCATGAAATGTTAGAAAATGGCATAAAATTAAGTTCTGATTCAGAACAAAGAGAATGGCCTGACTGCATACCCCCAAGCAGAGATTCTCTTGAGGCAGAAGGAATCTGTTTCCTACAGTCGACACTTGGCACGACTTGGAAGAAACTGTTCTCTCCTAGCTGCAAAGGTACAGAGAATCCTACAATCCTTTACACGGGGTTTGGAAATCAAGGTCTTTTTTCCCTTGAACGGGTATGGCCAACAGTCTTTAAACCTACTTCAAAGCAAACAGTTAAATGATACAACCATGAAGTCCTTTGGAGAAAAAAGGAACCTGTTCGACCTCGATCTGTGACACCCTGAGATCTACTTCATTCAGGAAACGGGTAGATCTTACCGCATTTGCGACTGATACAACATTAAAATGACTGCGTGCGGTGTTGTTTCTCATGCTCGAACTTTCCTTGCTGTACATAAAAATGAGCTGAGAAAGTCAAGTGTCACTGGTGGGTGGCCGAGCAGCCCTTCTGAGGGACTAATACCGCGGGGTCCTGACACGGATGACATGGGGAAGTGAGGAGAACCCCAGGAGATAGCCGTGCACACGTGTTAACCGCAGAAGGCCCCACAGGGTAGGTCTGACAGAAAGTTCCCACGTATTAAATTTCTCTCTTGTCTTTACTCGGTTGGAGGGCAAAAACATCGCTTTCTATCTTCCTTCAACTCAAGTGCTGTTGATGGGAAAACAAACCAACTCAAAAAACAAAAAAGGAAGCTCTTGCACAAGGTTGGGTTCCTGGGAAGAGTGTACTTCCCAGTCTTTTATTTGATGATCTAGACTCGTGCCTGCAGGTGGTTCAAGCTCACACGCAGCCCTGCAAATCGTGCGCGCTCAAGTTTTAGCAGTCCAAGGTAGAAGTGTAGACTGTGGTATCGGATATACTTACTAATAGGTTCTTCTATGCTGTGAGACTCAACTGGGTATAGAGAATGAAAGTAAATCTCTAATCATAACCACCAGCCATCCAGTTAAGGATGAAACTCTGGAACTACTGCAGAATAAATAATGAACACCAGTTACCCACGCACAGCCTGGCATACGGGGGAAAACGGAAACATCTTCTGGTCTGTGGTCAGCCACTAGTATGCTAGCGTGTGAACACGTAGTATTGTCTTGGGGAACAGTGCAGTGAAGTTTATACAAAACCCACAAACATTTATCGTTGCTTAGTATGGTTGATGTACTGTGTTGGGATGAAAACAGGAAGATGAGAAAATAGTTTCTGCCTTCAAGGAGCTCCCAGTTTACTAAAGTGACACGTGTGAACATGTTCAGTGCTGGGATACAGGCGGGTGTCCTCAGGGTGCTGTGCGCACAGACCAACTGGACCAGAGGGGGCTCTGCCGGGGGGTAGGCAAGCTTGGAACTGAGTCTTGGAGGGCGAGGACTGGAGAGCCGGGTTAAAGGGAATTGAAGGGCACTAGGTTGGAAACTACAGGAGAGGAACGGAGCTGCACGGTGTGCTTGGAATATATTCATAGCTCAGTCCTGGAGGAGGATGCACAGTAAGGCAGAGAACAGAGAGAGACAGGACTGAAGAAGTAGGCAAGAGCTCGATCACCTCTGGCCTTCAATGTCATTCTAGGAGCCTGGGTTTTTTCCGCTATGGGAGGAAGGGGACTTTTAGCAGGAAGGTGATACAGAGGCCTACATTTTATCGAACTCTCTGGCCGCAGTCAGGAAGGGTATCCGGAGAGGAAAGGCTAGCGATCAGGCAGGCAATTACAAGCCTGCCGTAATGGCTTCGATGAGAGATTCGGGGTTAAGCTAGGCTGTGGTAGGAGGGATGGAGGGGAGAGGGGAGATTCTAGAAATTATCAAGAGGAAAAATGTAAGGACCTGAATGGCTTTGTATGGGAGAGATGATGGATGGAGGGGAAGGGGCAGCCCAGGGTGATTCAGCCCTGACCTTAGGGCCTGGCTGGATACTGGTCCCACTAACCGAGAAAAGGACAACCGGAAGAGGGGCAGGATTAGATGGGAAGGGGGGCTAGTTTCACTTTGAAGGCGATGGTTGTCTGGTGACTGAGACCAGGCAGCCTGAAGCTCAGGGCAAAGCCAGGGCGGGAGAGGACTGTCTCCGAGTTGTATGAATGTACACACTAGTGGAAACCTTGAGAATGCATGACATCTATTATGTGAGCCAGAAGTAGGATTCAGGGAAACAGCAACAATTAAGGATTAGGTAGAAGAAACAAGCCCATGGATGAGAAGAAATTAATGCAGGACGGAAAGAAAACCGGGAGACAGGTGAAGCAGAAGTCAAAGGAGGACACGTTTCAGAGATGGGTAAGGGACCAGCAGTATCAAGTATAGCAGACAGCATCAGAAAGAGAGGGAAGCCTCCAAATTGGATAATCAGGAGCTAAGTGTTAGCTGAATTGTGTCCCCAGTACTCCCCCTCCCCCCGGCACCCTTCCCAAAAAGAGCCGGAGTCCTAACTCTCAGTAACTCATAATGACAGAACAGGACCTTATTTACAAATAGCGTCTTTAAGGTTAAAAAGAGGTCATTAGCATGGGCCCTGATTGAATGACTGGTGTCCTTATAAAAAAAAAAAGGGGGGGAAATGTGGACATAGAGACAGACATGCACAGAGGGAAGATGGAGTGAAGAAACGCAGGGAGAGGGTGCTCATCTACAAGCCAAAGATGGAGGGAGGCCTGCAACAGATTCTCCCTCCATCCTGGCCAGCACCTTAATCTTGGACTTGGAGCGTCCAGAACCGAGACAACATATTTCTATCATCTAAGCCACCCAGTTTGGGGTACTTTGTCACAACAGCCCAGCAGACTAATATGGACAGTTTACCATGTGAGACACAAGGCGAAGAAGTCAGGTTGGGGAGGGCTGAGGTGTGAATGGAAGACAGAAATGGGGACTACGCTTTTCAAAGGTTTATGTGAGAAGGGGCTACAGAGGAACACAGTGCTTTAGTTTTAGTTTCAAGATCACAGAGACCTGAATGATCTCAAACACAAATGGATAGATTTTTCTAGTAAATTATTTGAAATTTAAAATGTGTTGGCATAAAGTAGTTCATAGTTTTGTTCACTGTGTTCTGTGATTTTAAAAATGTCTATTGTAGTCATGGTCGCAATTTTTGTTCCTAGTATTCTTTGTGTATTTTCTTGCATTTCTCTACAGTCACAATTTTTGTTCCTAATGTTGTTTATTTGTGTATTTTCTTGCATTTCTCTACCAGTCATGCCAGAGATCTGTTATTATTGAAAATCAAGGTTATTGGTTTTGTTGGGGGAAAAAAAAAGAATAAAAGCAAAAGAAATGTGAAGTCCTAAGAGAGGGAGGGGATAACTGGCAGAGCAAGTCCTGATGGGATGTGATCAAGGCCACAGCTTTGGGACCCCTTGTCCTTGAGACTTTAGGAAAGAGGGAGGCAAGAATGGGTTGGGTGTGGTCTTTCTCCTTGTTGGGAGGAAACAGGAAGTTGATGGTGTTTCCACCTGGCGATCTCAATTTTATTCATCAAGTGAGAAGTGAAGTCACCTGCTTAGAGTTGAGAGGGGGTTAAGGGAGAAGTGGGCAGGCTTCGAGGGGGGACTGCAGCCAGGGAAGGATGAGAAAGCTGCCTGGTGAGGACCAGTGATGGTGAGGGTCTGGTCAAGCTGGAAACGACCTTGACCTTCCTGGATGTAACAGGAGCAGAGATGGTGGCCTGCTGTAGAATTAATCCAGGGTCAGCATTCTGTGAGGCAGGTGTGACGGAGGGATGGGGTAGAAGACAAATGAGGACACTGCTAAAATGGAGGCCAGATTTGGTGGAGATGGAAAAGGGGTAAAGAAGGACCCCACTGAAATTCAGATCAGGTTTAGTGGGAGCCAAGAATGAGTGTGATCTGGGAATGAAAAGCTCCCGAGGTGCTGTGTTCTTGGTCATGACAACACAAGGCAGAGTGGCAGGAGGAAGTGGCTACCAAGGGGTGGACGGAAGGGCCGTAGGGACTGAGGTCCAGGCTCTGTAAGGGGTGCAGGGTATCACAGGCTGAGATCTTCCACAAGGAGGCAGGAGCTGTGGTGCAGAGTACCATGCCCCTCAGTGGATAAGACTGCAGGACAGATTTACTGAGGCTGGTGGATGGTGGGGGAGGCAGGTTAGAGGAGGCCTGGGCATCTGAGAAGGAGGGGCTTCTGAATGCCTTACAAGTCAGACCCTCCCTCCCACTGGGATGGCTCCCATTCATATTTAAATACTCAATGTCAGGGAGAAATGCATCTTCAAGTCTTATTTGTAGGACCAAAGAAATAAATTTTAAGAGCCAGATGAGGGGTTTTTGGTTCTCGATACATCAAGTGCTAAAATTATACATACATGACATCAAAAACTACTGATAAGATTTTAGACAAACAACATACCAGAAACTCCAGGTGGTGTCTTAATGAATTTTCCATTAAAATGACCAATAACGGCTTCACACTTATCTGTTGATTCCATCCTATTCATCCATCAAAATAAAACACATATTTAGAGATCTCTTAGTTTCAGATTTTGTTTTGTGCATGTGAATACATTCTTATAGGTTTATCGGATACAAATAAAAACCTAGCGAAAATCTGAATCAGAAAAAGTGGGCTTATCCTATCTTTTATCTGCTTTATGTGTACTTCTATAATAAAATGAAAACTTATATCCACAGAGTACATTCTGAATCATGTAAGAAATAAATTATATCCAGAGTGTTTAATATCAAGCATATCAAACGTGTAATTTTTTTCTACATGTTGGAAAACTGGCAATCAATACACAATAGCTCTGCTGGTCATGATATGGAATTAAAACAGAAATGCCAGTTCAAAATATGAGTGGATTTACTGCTGCCAGAATATTTTAAAGATGGCCTTTCCTTTCACAAAAGGACAGACTCAAAAGTCATGATGAGAATGAGTGAAAATCACAGGATACTCCTTATTCGGTTTTTATATTAACTTTGGGTATAAAGTTAAATTAGTGAAGTCGGTTATGTACTGTCTTTGTCATCTTGGCTTCAGAGGAGTAATTAAAGGATTGAGCCTAACTTTACAATTTTATTCTACATCTGCAGGTGGCTGAAAACCTTTGAGAAACATTTCAAGGGAATTACATTATTTTGACTTATTTTTTTTTTTAATGGAAGAAACACTGAATAATCTATTCAAAATGCACCACACTCCTGGACTACCCAGAGAGTTACATCTTGGTTTTAATGGGTAGTAATAGTTTTAAAAAGCAACAGAATTTAATTGGGTTCCATCTTTGGATACAAAACTGAAACTACTTGATCTTCTTTCAGCACCCCTACAGAGGCGATGATTTTTTAGCTGGTGCTGAGCTTTTCATTATTTCCCCGGGATCCTTTTAAACAACGAAGCGTACACTGGAAATGCAAGTTTTGGTGACTTTTCACCTATAGAAATTTTAGTTTTACCTTAAAATTATCTGGCCTAACAGAAAGAGCAATCAACTAAAACCCAGAAGAACCAAGTACTAGACTTTGCTTCATTACTTGGCAGTCTGGTGACAAGGGAAACAGCTCTTCTTTGACTCGATTTTCTTATATGTAAAATAGTGAACAATGCTGCCTTTGTTGATTTCACAGGTCTGTGGGAGATGTGATTGTCATCAAATAGGGTGTTGTATATGAAAGTAAAATACGAGCAATTTTTCTTCCAAAATCAAAGTCAACACCTAGACATTATCTGTTCCTGCACAGTACTAACAGGTTCCTAAATAATGGGAAATCAGTTTTTATACGTGGGCTTGTAGATTAGAACTATGTCAAAACTCAAAGCACTTTCTGTTTGAGATTTTTCTTTTAGAAACAAAATTAACCGTTACACTAAAGTATCCTTTCCGGAGAGGAAGGGATAAAAATAAGTTGGAAGAAGTGAGGGCACTTTAGATAGATCTGTGACATTTTGCTTCTTAAAAAAGACAAAAAAAAATCTGAAGCAAAATTATAAAATGTTACAATTGGTGTAGCAATCGGTGGTTAGAGAGGTGTCCTATTATTGTCTTACTCTCTGAATGTCTGAAATAATCTAATTCACTGACTTTATTTATGATGAATCAAATTTCCATTAAATGAGAAAAGCCACACTGATTTATTTATGAAATTCAGGAACCTATGATTGTTATTTTTAAGAAGTTACAGACATCCTGATCTAATTAATCAAAATATTAAGGACACATATTTTCAAAACTATTGGATAGTTCCTTGCCCTGAGTCACCAAATATTTAGTGTCTTCAGGTCCAAGAATCCTAATGAACTTCCAAAAGATCTGGGGGAAAAAAAATACAAACCAATATTTATACATTTAAATTCATGGTGCAACTGGGCTCCCATAACCCTGGCTTAAATTCTCTCTTCTTGCTCAACTTTTATTTTGCAGGAAACTTAGCAGAGCTATTGTCACTGACATAGTAAAGACAGAGCAGCGTGCTTACCTAGCAAAGCCAACACCACGACTTGTACCACTGGAATCACGTAGTATCCTCGTAGAAATAACTTGTCCAAATGGTTTGAGCATATTTTCAAGTTCTTGCTCATCCATGGACAGTGGCAAATTAGAAATATATAGGTTAGTAGGATCTTGTTCCTGTTGCTAAAACAGAACAGAGAATTGTCCATTAATTTCCAATGGAAGTTGAAATACTGATGTTAACACAACACACCTACTTTGACTGAGCCACTCTCTTGGCTCAGGTAACTTAGAGTGCTACTGAGAGCGAGCGTGGGAGCTACAGAACACCAAAGTCACCTTGCACACTTGAAAACAGTGTCAGAAGCTTAGGCAATCTGTGCAGGTCAGATCGGATTCTGCAGAGCCGTTCTCAGCCCATTTGGAAGTGCAACTGCGGGCACGCGCCACGGAGCTGGAGAGGGTGCCCTCATGGAGCCACACTCTCAGCTGTTTGCAGCGCTCCCAAAATAACCAACCTCTCCCCTGAGACTATTTTTAGGAGTCCATTTCAGGCACACTATTGCACAGAAGGCTATTACTGTCAATAATTCAATCCAGAGACACACAACGTATTCTGGACCAAGTCGTCTCAAGTCCAGTGGGGCTTTGTCCCAGTTCCCCTCCTCTGCTCCACAGCAGGGTCCTTACTACTTACTCTGGAATTCTGATCACCCATGGGGAAAGGAGAGCCCAGAAATGAACAAAAAACAAGTAAACTCAAAGCCATATATAAAATGATAAACTCTAGGCGGAGCAAACTTTAGAATCAGCATAAAGGTGAACGAGTCCGTGGCGAGTCCGTGGGGGAGGGAAGCTTTGCTAAACCCTGGCTACTCAAAGAATGATCCAGGGCCAGCAGTGATGGGATCACCTACAAGCCCCTCCCAGACCTACAGAAGCAGAAGCTGCATTTTAACAGGATTTCCAGGTAATTCATATGCATATAAAAGTTCAAGAAGCAATAATTAGATCATTCCCCACTCACCTTTCCTTGGCTGAGATAGAATCAGCTGAAACCAAAGATACGCAACTGAATTTTCTGAAAACCAGTAATTGCTATGTATATTTGGTAAGAGTACGGTGTTAAATCAGAGAAAAAGCTTATATGTCAACTGGAATATTTTCTGACCAAGTCAAAACTCACTTCTGCAGTGGTGAGATTAGAACAGCCTTAATTAATTTTAAATCAGGCTTTCCTTTGATCCTATTAAACAACTGTATCTTCACATATTGAGCTATGCAGGCTTACGATTTTTCTTCAATAAGCCCTATTAGTAAAGTCATTAACTGATGTTTTAGCATTAGGCAACAGAATAGCACACTCATTATATTTTAGATTTCCAAAATGCACAGAACTTTAAAAATATATGTGGAGCATATGCATATTTGAATTGTACAAAGTCTCTACTTTCAAATTTATCCTGTTGTTAATTAAACCTGAAATGAAATCTGTCTTTTCATATAATCTGCAAGTAAAAGCACATATTGACCTTTCATACTATACGTACCTGGTAAGATTTAAAATAACAGTCTGGTATCCTAAGGAATGACAAATGCCTTGGTATTCCCAAGCATTCAAGTTATCAGACCCAGAGGAACTATGGGTAAAAAGTACTGTCCCCATGACCTCCCACTTCAGACCAGAGGGCAACAGCACGTAACCAGGCCAGTCCCAAAGGGGTGCAGCAAAGGCTCCAGGCCCCGGTGTCCCTGAAGTATCCCGGGGGTGTGGGAGTGGGGACGGACCCGAGAAAAAAATTAAAATTTTCAAATGTTCAATAGTAAGCCGAATACTTAACCTCATTCACCCTTCACAGGCTAAACAAAATGGTAACTATCTTCGCTTTTAGCTGAAATTAGATCAGTTCAATGTAGGATGGCTGATTATCTTAGGCTGAACAAAACCTATCTTTATATCTTTAATGTACAAAAATTGGAAAGTGATTTAATAAATGCAAAACAGTAACAGATAATGTGTTTGAAAATATAAGGAAAAGCAAAATGGTCTGAGGTATTCAGTTTTCAAGTGCTTCTGAGGTAGGGTGAGAGGTAAAATCTCCCCTTATCTCCATTCCACTCACTACCTCTGCCAAATTGGCCCGATGAATCGCACAGCTCCTTGATTAGTCACCTCATGTTGGCTCTACCCTCCCAAGTCCCCGAAGATTTCCTGTGGTGCAGAAGACTCTATTTGTTCCTGTTGTTAGTCTGGTCCTTAACTGGCCAGTACACATGGAGTCCTTTGTCTCTGAGGGTGGGTGCCGATGAGCCCTGGAGCCTCATACAGTCAAATGATATTTACAGGGCATCTCATACATCCCAGATTCGCATAAAATAATCTTGACTCCAGTCCCGTCCTCCAGCTGCTTACAGTTAAGTAGGGGAGAGAGAAACACATGCGGTAAGTGCTTAGGACAGAGGCGGGTGCAACTCACAGTGGGAGGAAGGATGGGGGAGCTTGTCTTGGGAAAGGCAGGGAAGAGTTTTCAGAGGGCATGGCCACTAAGTTGAGATTTGAGAAACAAACAGAAATCATGAGGCTAAAACCAGATTGTGAAAGGGTATCTAAGGAGTTGGATTGTATTTTGCCAGTTCCTGCGGCTAAACTTTTCCACTTCAGCATTGCCAACAGCAAGAAGGACTATGTACACTGAAGAGTCGGCAGGCAATGGCCAAAGTAGCCTTAGCAGAGTATAATTTTTTTGGAAGTCTTGTGCTTTATCTTAAAAAAAAAAAAAAAAAAAAAAAAGTCATGTAAATTTTGCAATCTACTTCCTAACTATTCAGATTTGTTTTAATTTAGGAACGATGCTTCTGAAGCCTCATACTTCCAAGTAATAATGATAAGTTCAGGGAGAGAAGCCAGGCTTATCCTGTGATTTCATGTACTCTGGTGGGTGAGTAGGGAGAGGAGGAAGGAGGAACTGTCGTCCACCAACTGTAGTTAGAAAGCCACAGTCTTGACAAATGAGGGGAGCTTTCGGAGGCATGGAAGCAAGGAAATGGTATAATCAAGCCTATCTTATGAGAAAAATCTCTGAATCATGCTTAGTCAGATTCAGAATAAAGCTGGGAACCCCCTAATTAAAAAGCGTTAAAACCCTCCTTGGACAAAGATATGGCATAAAAAAATGTTATGTAAGAAACATACACCGTAAATATTGTGGGGCTTTCTTTTTAAGTTACAATTATAACCACTAAATGACTGATATTTAAGAACGGTCAGAGGAGACTTTGCCATGTGAAGTATTTTTAAAAAGGGTTAACAATGTAGGTACAAAATACTTTCTAAATCTATGTTTTAGTGGTTTGTATGATTAAAATATTAATAAAATAGTACATTCTTTAAAGTTCTGATTCAACTTGAAAGTTTACGATGAAGAAAAAAATAAGTACTAAAATCAGAATCCAGAAAGAAATTGAGCTCCTAACCCATTCTTTGATAAATAGTGAGCCAAAGTCGACTAAACACGAGTAAATATTTCCTGTAATTTGAATGCATTTTTTTCAACAGCAACAACTCAATTAGAGTTTTTCATTTGGGATGACCTTTAAAGCTAATGTTATTTATTTTTCTCATCAAATGGTCAACTTATCCTGCAAACATTGACCGCAAAAAGTTGTAATAACTAAAAAAGAAAAAAAAGAAAAAGAAAGAAAGGAGAAGAAACTCCAAGCTGGCACACTGGCCACAAAAATATCTAATCCCCAAATGTCCGTGCATTCTCACTACCATACATTCATAGTGAATGGAATAGATAAGCCTTGTAGTAAGTGGGGGGTGGTTCTCGAATGAGGGTAATTTAGTTTCTTTAAAATCAGTGACAACCATAACTCTGTTTTATTACATACAATGTTATGTCTCAAAAAACAATTATTCTGTAAATTATGGGTGGCCAAACATAAAATGGGGCCAACAGGCCTCTTTATATCCATCCTTAGGCATGGAAAAGGTTCAATGGCTTCTCTAACAAGTAGAAAACTAGCTCCCACATTGGCTGTGAGAGGGATAAATGGCCACTAATGTTCACTTGAGTAGAAAAGCAGGGCTCAGAGGTCCCGCGTGGTGTAAAACACTCAGTCATCATCTGAAAGAAATTAACAAAAACCTCCCTGTGCATGTGGAATGGTTCCTAAAATGCAAGAAAGGGACTTGGCAGGAAGACCAGACATCTGTTTTCTCTTGTACTGAATAGGTTCACCAACCAGCCAATAGCTGCTCACAGGCATGTGAATGCAAACTGCCTGAAGTGCGGTGGACTCCATGTGGAAGGGGGATTAAACTCCTGCTCGTCTGCCTGCCTATTTACTGAAAAGAAATGTGCTAGCTTTACCACCAGGCAAATAACATACGACGATCCACTGACTCCCAGCAGGCCTTAAGAGGCACTGCTGAAAGGCCTATAGAAGTCATTCTATTAACAGGTATTACCAATGTTGATTTGAGTTTTAAGTCGTTTTAGCTGGATATCTGAGTTTTGCTCTTTTTGTAGATTCTGAGCCTTCTGGTCTAAAAACAAACACATCTGAAAGGAGGCCAAGTTTAACATCAACAGGCATGGCCTTGAGCCTTTGGAAAAACCTTTTGGTAAGTTTCCTCAGGATACTTCTATGGACAGAGCTCAATACATATAATTTTTGAACGTCCCATTCTTAATTCTCAATATCTGCTCAAGCTAGGAAGAAAGTTTTTCTCTCACTGAGTTGGCTTCTTTGGCCATCAACAAAGATTTAGTATCTACCCTATGCCAGGTACCAAGAGAGGTACTGAAAATTAAAACATGAATAAGAAACAATCACTGCAGCTGAATGCTCTCCACCCGCAATTTTTCAATTCAATTTTGGGTATCTGTGGAATCCTTTTTCAACCCAGGATAGCCAATGTGTCAAACAATATTATATTCTCCTTCACCCAAACCCCAATCCACCCCCCACCACCCTGATGACTTCCCTAGTAAAATACCCCTTAATTTTTTCTAATTACATAAGAAAACAAGCCTTTACTATGTGGCAATGTGAATTTTCAAAATTTTATGTAGTAATCCTGGTTAATTCACTAGCAGAAAGTGGGTGGCAATGGGTCCCTTATCACTCAACATGGGAGCCAGACCTAAACTTCTTTTAAAAACTGTCTCCACAGAAATTGCGTGCCAGGCGCCCCTTTATCTGGATAGCATGAGGGGGTTAAGTCAATTCCAGATCCTCAAATCCATGATGCCATGGAATAGAACAATGGACCCTCTAGCATTTGAAATATCTTTTGTAACTTTAATGATACAATAAAAAAGAAATCAGGCCCAGGAAATTCAGTCATTCTACAGAGACCTAAAGAAATTCACCAAGTGCAGGCTGTTGGCACACTCCCAGCATCTCTGAACCTGTGTACCGTTCCTTCCCTACCGATAATGTAGAAAGGGATCATTTTTCCTAGCCAATTTACAGTCCCAAGTCTCCTAAGGAGGCCTCTGCACGGTGCTCATTATCAATCCACAGGAAAGTGGCATTCAGAGCGCACTGCTGACATGTCAGATAGAGCCGGTCTATGTCCAGTCCGGCGCTGACCAAATGCAGTGTAAAGAGTTCTTCAGAACAGTGGACATTTAAAAGACTATGCTGCTTACTATCACTGGCACTGAGGCGATGTCTAGGTAAGTGTTCTTAGGGCTGCTTTAAATAAGGCCCCTGCATTTATAACAGGTCGATAAAAGAGCCCTCTTTCTAAACTTGTTTCAGCAGAAGCCACAAAACAATGGCTGGCACTCGCACATTCCAGAGTGAGAAACCAGACCACCTAAAGAGAGGCGGCTGAGAACTGGTTTGGGATGCTGAGCTGACCACCCACCTCTGGCTGCCTATGAGAGACCGGAGAGGCTGAGAATGAAAATGTATGTGGAGAGAAACGCTGATGTGTTCTGAGTCTCACCATGTGGGCTGCTTGTCTATCACTGCTAGGCAAGCAACAGGGGCTTGAACAGACCACTCAGGAGGCTTGCACTGTGTCCCGTGGAGCTTGGCAGATACAACAGATCGATGTCTGACTTCAGCCTGAGGAATCTAACAGGTGAAAGGCTGGCTGAAGGGGCCTAAAAGTGTGGGTGGTAAGTACCTACTTCTCCCACAGACAGGTGCCAAACGTAGACCAGAGGTGGGCCATGCAAGCAGAGTTGGCCCAGGGTATGGAACATCCTTCCTTTCAAGAAGGCTGCCCTGGAGGGCAAGGAGGTCCAGCCGAAAGGGGCTGAAGATAGACCCTTAGATTATCAGGAGCTGAGGCATATATTCACTAGTTTCAAGGAACCACAGGAGAAAGATCAATTAGAGGTGGTGGTAGTGGTGTAAGAGACCTCTGAAAAATGCCCAAAGCGTTCCATGAGGGAAAGCATCACCTCTCTGGCCAGGGTAATCAGCACCAGATTACATCACTGTCAGGTCAAGAAACTTTCCAGCCCATACCCTGTTCCAAGGGGGGAGTGTTAGAAATCACAGCTACCCAAGTTGATAGAAGAGCAAGAAAAACATAAGTTTGGGAAATAGGAAAGAAACTAACCAAGCTCCCATTCCTCTGTAGGCTTATTATGACTGAGAGCAGACCTGAGCTGGAAGATGGGGGAAGCTTCAATGTGATACTTAAAATTTCATCAAAACAAGGGTACCTGGGTGGCTCAGTCAGTTAAACGGCTGACTCTTTTTCAGCTCAGGTCATTATCTCTGGGTCCTGGAACTGAGCCCCACATTGGACTCCGCACTCAGCAGGGAGTCTGCTTGAGATTTTCTAACTCCCTCTGCCCCACCTCCCCCTGGAAGATCAATAAATCAATCTTAAAAAAAAACTTCACCAAAAACAAACAAACCTATCAGGATTGGGCATTTAAATCACAGGCATCATATATGTTAATATCAGTAATGTGTTCTTAAAAATGAGACATCCAGGGCACCTGGGTGGCTCAGTCACTTAAACGTCTGCCTTCGGCTCAGGTCATGATCCCATAGTCCCGGGATCAAGTCCCACATTGGGCTCCCTGCTCAGCGGTGAGCCTGCTTCTCCCTCTACCTGCTGCTATTCCTGCTTGTGCTCTCTCTCTCTCTCTCTAATAAATAAATAAAATCTTAAAAAAAAAAGAGACATCCAGCATCCAAATGTTAACCAGGATCCTATTTCACATTATTTCAAATAAGAAAGAAACCATAATGTATTACACATTAATTACCACCCCCAATTTCCTAAGATGTAATTAAATACTTATTTTCCTATTTTTCTACAATTTCCTAAAATGTGACTTGTTATATTGGGATATAAACCTTTAAAGCATTGCCTCTTGATCACCAAGTGATCAATATGGTTGTTAGCAGACAACTGCCGTGTAAGCTGCGATTTCTTTCAGCACCAGTGACATCCAAGACACATATCCCTTTTGCTGACTCTCAGCACTTTTCAAAACCTCACATGTGATTCTGACATTTTACAAACTTATTTAGAATGTAACTTGAGACTCCCTATACAACATCATCTTTAAAATCCTGTATTGAGGTTGGTGTAAATACATACAGAAACGGCTGAAAATGTGTTGAAAGATAATTACATTCCATGAAGTTTGGATATGAAAAATCAAGAGGCATTCTACTGAAAAGAAAAAAAAAAAAATTAATGAGAAAGACCAGAAGTGAAGGGACTTTTTAAGATAATGAGAGTGGCCAGAAAAGTCATGGGACCTGCCCTGAATTTTATCCACGAGAGGAGGAAACAGAAACTTCACAGAACAGAGGAAATGGACAGAGTAGAGGGAAAAATAGAGCTGTTGTCTGACTGTGCCTTGAAAGTCCTGCTTATAAAATGGATGGGGACCCACTGTTTACAGAGGCAGGTTAAACATGCTGTAAATCATTACACAACACAAGTACTGTACAGCCACAATTAAATATACTTAAAACCCTCATAATCACGGTCTTCTAACAATGCCACAGGGAATTACTCTATATTACGGACAGATAATCGGAAAATCGTGGTGCTTAATATTTATAGTTTCTATTTAACTTCTTACTCTGGAGTTCAAGAAAATCTAAAATATGTACAACTCAATTCAAAGCTTTAAAAATAGTTAAACACTACTTTAGAAAGGTGATCCCTTTCACTAATTCCTGAAATTATTATTTATGATTTCAAATAAGAAAGAAACCATAATGTATTACACATTAATCACGGTAAATTCTTTGAGTCAAGGTAAATCTCTGGTGTGGTTCCTATGCATGCGTCCTTCAGGAGCCTCAAGGTCTTAGCAGGTAACTTATCTCTTTACCAGAGTCCTTGAACTTCCATAAATTCTCCTTCCTTATGGAAATGTGAATGCTCCTGAGGGAATGATCACATGCTACTATTCAGAAGCAGCAGAAGTAACAAAATTACTTTTCTTTGTGCTTCAAGAAGACAGACAATAAAAATTATTGATCTTTTGTAAAGAATACACAAAATATCAAACTGGTGAGTTTCAGGCTTCAAGGACCACAAATGAAAAAAAAATGCACAGAATTATATGACTATCTTTAGAAGTGCACTATGGGTACTAGGTGTGACATAACCCAAGTTTACATTTGGACAATAGGAAGACTAAGGGCATAAACCCTGCTTCAACAATATTCCTCTTCCAGAATGCTAAAAGTTCATCAGAAAAAAACTTTGAATAAAGCCATTATAGAACCAGTAAAGAGTAGATTCATATCCCATAAATAACCAGTGTCTAAACATGTCTGACTTTTGTACAGATTTGAAATAGCATCTGTAGCTTCCCTCTGCCCTAAACTACGACCAGGGCAGACGTCCAGAAGTAAGCAAGGTTAGCCAGGATGGAGGGAGAATGCCAACACTGATGGGCAAAGCGCCATGCCAGGCTTCAGGACGAAGCCAGGGGCCAGAGAAGTGACTACTGGCTCTCGACTCACCTTTGCCATTTGAGCTTGAACCCCACTAGCCTTCAGGGCAGACACAGCTTTCTGGGCTGCTGCAGGACTGTCGAAGTCAACAAAACCATAACCTGAAATGCAAAACATACTTACTTATTAAGCCATTATTTTGTGATAATGAAAAGAGCAAAAGATTGACTCTGGTTCCTGATGCAGGGGCAGCACAAACGAAAACCCTGACGTCCTGACACGCGTCTGGTATTACCAGCTGCAATGCAGCCTCCTTCTCAGGCTGTCTGCCCCTGTTGTCTCTCATGAGCTAGACAGATTTCCCTTCAAAGTAAAAAAAAAAAAAAAAACCAAAACAAAACCTAAAAGCCCCAGTTTTCCCTTTTTCTCAGGTGTCTTGCTTACTGAAGAAAATAACATCCTAGTTAACCAACCAAAGTTAAAAACAAAAAAAAAAAAGGAAAAAAATCAACTTCAGAAAAATAGCACTTTTAATGATTTGGTGAGAAAGATGGAGCAATCATATAAAACTTAACAAATAACAGAAAAAAATTTATGTTTATTCCACTGACTAAAATTCATTTTTCAAATAATTAAGTATAACCATGAAATACCCCAAACATAAAATAATTGCAATTTCAGTACCCGATTAAAAATATGATTACTTATTTACTTAAAATACACATGATCCTCCTTCAAATAAAGAAAGGAGTAAAATGCCTCCAGATATCCAAAAGAGCTCCTTCAGCAGTTCATGCCCTAACAGCTAAAAACAAAATACAAACAAACAATCTCCTAAAAGAGGCTCTGGTTCAAAGCTTATTTATTCATAGCTTCATAAACATTTTTAACAAGCTGGTCAGCTAATCCCTGGCCATACTAAGTCAAAAGCAGGAAACCAGGAGAAAAAAGGTGTCAGGGTAAGGGTAGGCTGCTACAAAATGAGCATATGGATGGTACCTAGCAGCAAAAACTAGCAACAAGCAATAAAAGAGGAAAGCTATACAAAGAAGGGGACTTAAGCAGCCTAAGAGCATAGGCCATCACTGATTTTTTGCTGTGATCACTCTTAAGTTACTGAGAAAAGGTTAAATCATATTTAACACACTGTTTAACAGATCAGCGTACCAGGCAAAAATACCAACGGAGATTTTATTGGAACTCAAGCCCTACTGCTCTAAAATAAACTTTAAATGAAGAGGAATATTTTGAAAAACAAAAGCACTGTTTGGAGGCTGCACAGAGGGGCCAGTCCTATCACTGATTTCTAGATATTGTAAAGATAGAGTACTTTTGACGGGAAAGTACTAGTGTCCAAACAGACAAACATACCTATCAACAAGGCCAAACACAGAGCTTGGCAAGGGGTCAAAGGTTGGTTTGCAGTATTAGTACCAAAAATACTGTCTGGTAACAAAACAGGTTGTAATGAAACAGAGTAAACTATCAATCATAGAAGCAGATGTTTCAGCAGAGATGCGTTAAAGCTGAAATAAGCAGCAGCTTCCTTCTATTACTTGGAATTGGACTGAAATAAAGTCTAATTTGATTTTGACAGTGGAGAAACAGCCAGGTTGGAAAGAAAAAGAGAAGCTGGCTCAGGTAAAAGCAGAGAATGCTGCTCAACAGCCGCATCAGGAATTAGAGTCAACACAGTGTGAGTGTTTTTAGAAACCTGTACATTAATGCTAATATGCAACCCTCTGTGGGGACACACACACACACACACACACACACTCTCACTCTCATACATACTTTATCATCATATACAACTTCAGCGGGCCATAAATGAATACCCAACTACAATGAAATGATGTCACTCCCACTGATGGATATTTGAGAGTGGTTGCCCCCTCCCACACACAATTTTGCTGTTGTCAATAAATTACAAAAAACAGAAGATCTCAATCTTGATGTAATTGTGGTTGAACCTGTTACCAGTCAAGTACTATTAGTATTATTTTATCTGTTATTTTTTTATTAGAAAAAAATCTATAATGGTTGCATTTTAGTTGTTTACATCCTTTTCTGGCCTTTTCTAACCACATAGCCATTTCAATAAATATTTGCTGGAAACAAATATAATGGGTAGGCATGCAACCATGTGCTCTTTTGTTTTCTTTATTACATTACTTTTCAAGTAAATATAAGAGTATATAAAACTGAGTTACAGGTTCTATGGGTTTCATTACATAAATGGGTATAAAGATATTTTTGAAGGTAGGATTCACAAAGTAATACAGCACCCTTTCACTGGATCCCCAGAAGGACTCTCCTCAGGTCTCAGGACCAGGAATAGTTATGGTACTCCTGCTGGTTGGATTTTCCTCCACATTGTAGTGACTAAACCATGGGAATAGCTATGTTTTTTTTTTTTATTTTTGCTTTGGCCATTAGGAAACTCAGGCCATTTTTGTAGTAACCTGAGAATTCCTGCTCTTACCCCTATCTTCCCATTAGTCAGCTTTATCCTCACCCATTTTAACTTCGTGTGTGTGTGTGTGTGGCATTTGAGTGCATGTGTTCTAGTCTTGTATGTAACCCTGTAAGCATTAATAAATGAATCAATCCGTGTCACAGCTGATGCTTTGTAAGCTTTTTTTGGTCCCCAATCGCCATATATACCAGTGTTGGAAAGTGTTTAAATACCTTTAGTTGGCTAAAACCTGACAAAAATTGATATGCAGAAGAGCAACTGACTCATAAATTTTCAAACTTAATAACTAAGGGACATGTTACTCAGAGCAATGTTTCTTTCAGTGTAATTTTCTTTCTTGGAGAGAGGCTCCAAAATATGCTTTGTGACAAAAAAATATTCTGTGACCTCTAAGGTCTCTAATTTTCAGGTATAAAATTCTTTGATATAGTCGACCTCAAAAAATTAGTATATAACATGTGAACTTTCCATTTATGTGAATATTCTATAATCTTTTATGTATTATCTATCTATACATATCCATCAATTCATCCATTCACCTATGTACCTCCTCAAGTTTTCAATGGCTAACATGTTGTCTTTGTTATGAGGTTCATTGTGTTGTTTCTTCTCATTTGTCCTAAAATTACCTTTTTTCAGGAGCTCTCTCATTCTGCTTCCAGGATTTTATAAACCCATTTTGCTCCCTTGGTCCCCTCACTCACTCACCCACCCACCCACTGTAGATGCTCACATCTGTCTATTCCTGAGAGCCTGTGTGAGACCAAGAGCCCTAAAAGGTTCTTAGCATTGCCCTCACATAAGGCAGTATCTCCTGAGACTCACTTTAAGAGAAGGTCTCCAGGAGATGTGCTGTATGGACAATTAGCTCTGAATTATTCCTTCCGTTATTTTGAAAGCCCCACAAATCTCTCCACTTATCTTTGAACACTTTCCAACCGTGAAGGATTTATTATGATATGTCCAATTTTGCATGAGTATATTTTACGTAGACCTTTTCTATATCGTGTTGAGCATTTTGTGGAATTTTGGTTCTAGGGAACAGGCTCTCATTGGAGAAGAGTGTACGACAGGTAGGGATTTTCAGTGCAGGGGCGTGGGGAAGAACTCAGCTAGGGAGTCCTTTGAGTCCTCTCCCTCACTTAACTGGGGCAGCTTTGCTAATTTTTAACACACTGATCTGCCCTGTAGGATTCTTTTCTGTTGGGGGCGGGGTGGGAGGACAGATAGGGTAAAGCCATTAAACCACTTGTCTACAGTGATTTCTCTCTCAGTTTGAAACAAGTGTTTGAGATCAGCTTCCTGTTTTATTCCGGCAAGAGTCCATTTTTCTTTATAAAACTGAAAGATTTTTTTTTCCTGTGTCCCTGCTTTCCCAAATCATTTACAAATATGTGAAATAACACTAACTTTGGCAACTAAATATAAACATTTCAGTCTACAGTTTGACTCTAGTTTAATTCATTTAAAACATTTACTGAGTACCTCTCTACATAAAGTACTGCTTTATTCACTGTCCCAAGGCAAAACTGTCTTCATGTGCCATGTTGCTTAAACAGGGGCTTAGATATTGGCCACAATTGTCCCTTTAAACTTAGGAGCTTTGAAGAAGACACAAATACAATGAACCACTTCAAGTCTAGATTAAAGGAAATGGCTGGCTTCTAAGGCCAGGCCCTACCATACGGTTCATTTACATTCTTTGCCTCTCTCAGACGGTGCTAAACCAAAGCCAAAGCCCCTACTTGAAAAACTGGGGGTCTAATTAATGAGGAGATTTGCCTTCTCTGCCTATTCCTGTCAACCTTATTTCAATTCATGGGGTCAATAGTTAGACTCAAAGTCAGCTGACTCCATTCTTCCCCTTTCCTAGAGATCACATGCCCATTGTTAAGACGCTGGATCATTAAAAGTCAGACCCACGAAGCATCAGCGCTGCCTACTGTAGACGCCTCCTCTTCCAGCTCATGGAGCTGGATGAGCTCATCCTAATTACATGGAAAACTGTAGGTCAGTGCATCAAATTAATGCAGCAGCATATTTCAAAGGGGCGTATGACCTCCCCTCCCTATCACAATTTGGTCAGTGAAAATGGTTCTCTCCGCCCCACTGCCAACATTGTCAACAGGCATTCAGCACAGAACAATCGGGAGTATTGAAACATGTAATTAAGTACTGCTTAAAACTACTCTATTCTAATTAATAGAGCCAATTTGCACAATATGTAATCTTTTCAGTTCTTTAGTACAGTCCAGTGGTCTTCAGCAAGCAGCTCTAATCTCCTCAGGCTCAGGAAAGAAAAGCTGTTTTCTAACTCTACTTCCCTTTTAAAGTAGGGGCTAAATGCCAACCAGTACCCTGCACGTTAGCTCCACTGGCGTCAGATCTGCGATTCTGGCAAGTGCTAGCGGCTCTGGGGTTTCCAGCCAAAACTCGACCAGGGACAAATGGAAAGGAATATGCTGACATTGTGCAAGACAGGAACCAGGGGACACAGATGACTTGGTTTTTAGTAAAATGGAGGTAGCAGTTTTGGAACCAAAGATCAGGTTTACAATTCCATCGTTTTCCTAAAGCTAGGATGTAGTAAATTTTCATCCAAGGGAATATACCTTTGCATTTGTTTGTTGTCTTATCCAAAATTGCCTTTGTGGAGACGATTTTCCCATATCTAAAAGATAAAAAGAAAAAAACAGGAGAAGTTAAAATCAAGGAACCCTTAGTAACATCTAAGTCCAGAGAACACACATACTTTTCAAGCATCTGCAAACTTTAAAGTACAAAATGTCCTATACTTAGGGGACAGAAAATGAGAATTCTAAACTCAAAACTAAACTAAAAAAAAAGGGGACTGGGTAGGCCTCCTATTTGAATCTTTGGATTACAGTCTGATGTTGACCTTTGAGGAATCAGGTACTTACCTGACAATCTTGGGACCAAGAAAAGGGGGGGAGGGGAGATGAGCTCCATGAAAAGTTACTTCTAGCAACACTATGTGAATATAAAGCCAAATGCAAGGCTATAAAATTTACCTAACACTTTGATAACTATTTATATTTATATAAATCTATAAAAATATATACCTAATATAATATTAACACCTCTTTCAACTCAGTAATACTAGCTACACGTATATATGTGAAATGACATGAACAATCAAGAATATAAAATACGAACCAGGGATTAAGCATACATTCTATGAGGGTCTGTATAAATGTGTTCGAATTCCTTAAGGTACAATAGATGTTGGGGAAGAAGGAAAAAAATCCAGAATATTAAGCTTTAGTGGGCTGCTACTGAAAATGAAGCAGTGGTATAGCTTAAATCCATGTCGTAATCCTCCACCCTTCCATCGTGACCACACCACAGGTAAAGCACTGCTGTCCGCATTTGTCTTCAAACTAAGGAAAAAGAAGCCTTTGAAAAATAATTCTTAAAAATTATGGGGACTTTGAGAAATGCACATAACTTTCTTAATGGATCCGCAACCTGCATCCTCATTTATACATGGTCAATTCCCCAACTTTACTTTCCTGTGTATTACTTTCAAAATTTCACGTTTTCTCTAATAATACTTTCTCATGATGGATCTTGAGGACTAAAAAGTCTCAAAAGCTTAGGAAATGAAGCATCTGTGTAGCATTTTAAAGCACTTTTGAATACTGCAGTTCTCTAGTTTATGCACTGAACAAGCTGAAATATATTTATCCAGAAGAAACAAATGGCTTGAACCACTTCTTTTTCCCGGTTAATTTTTACTCTGTGTAATCATGTAATCAAATGATTACTAACCAGGCATGAAAGTAAAGATAATTTAAGGTTCAAATGACAATTACATCCAAGAGGCATAATGCTGCACAAACACCTTCAATTCCCTGTAGAGATTCTGAGTATTTTCAACATTAACACAGGTCACTATGCTTACCAAAAAAAGGGCAATAATTTTTTAAAAATCTGAAAACCAGAGAAAATAAGTGATTTAAAGACCACCTTTTTAGCAACCATTTCTCTACTAGGTTATTTACATGCTGGATTATTTATCAGCACTTTCTCCTTTGCAAAAGTTTTGGCTGGAAATGCTTTTAGTCTGCATTCCAGTCTCATACCTTTCCAAAAGTACGGAAGAAAGTTAGTATGACCTCAATTTAGGATAAGGGGATTGAGAGTCACAGAGATTAAGAGACTTTGCTTGAGGTCACAGAGTTCAGAGTATTTTGTAAACCAAACAGAAGAAAGGAAATTTAGGGAAGGTCAGGGGCTGGCCTTCTATCCTTCTGGTCTGGCTCACGCACTAACGATGGGAGAGAAAGGGAGATGTGGGAAGGAGGAAGAAAGTCTCCTAGTAGTACTGGCATTCAACCCGTGCCATGCTCTCTTTGGGTTTGTGTTCTCTTTGGTCTCTTTGCTACTATGACATTACTCCTCACCTCCACATCTATGTACCCCACACCTCTTCGGCTCTGACCCTGCTCCCCAGATCTCATCCTATCTTTCTGGGCACTCTTTCCATGCTTCTTCGCCCATTCAGCCTCCTATTCTCTCTCCTTAACCAAGTACTCTCATCTCAACCCTTCCTTTTCCTAGGAAATCCATCCAATGCCACGGTGTTATTTAAAGCATCTTCTCTGTTGGTGCCTGTTTCTCCTTCCTGAGTCGGTTTTTTTTTTTTTTTTAAAGATGTTATTTACTTATTTGAGAAAGAGTACACGAACGAGCAGGGGGAGGGAGAGGGGGAAGCAGGCTCCCTGCAGGGCTTGAACCCAGGACCCTGGGATCATAACCTGAACCAAGGGCAGATGCTTAACCGACTGAGCCACCCAGCCACCCAAAACAACTGAGGTTTTTTTTTTGTTATCCCCCCCAAACTTTAGTTTTTGTCTCTCTTTCAACTTAAGTATCTTAGCATGTTAAGATACTTAAATATCTCATTCAATGTCACCTCCTGCCCACTATTTTCTAAATCCCATCCCCAAAGAACCCCAAACACATCTTCACTGTCTTTTTTCATTCAGTAGCACTGTCCCTCTTCTGATCTCCCAGCAGGCTCGAGGTTCTCGAGACACCATTGACTCAGCCATCCTGAGTCCAGGCAGTCAGGAACTCTTCTGAGTTGTCTCTGAGACGTTTCTAATATTCACCCTTTCCCTTTACTATGTCTAGACCCAAGCAAAAAATACATAATAGTTCTTGCCTTGCCTCCAGCTTCTGGTGCTTCCAACCTTGTCTGCTGCTTTAATTTACCTTAAACATCACTTTAAATATGTGTCTCTCATCCCATCATTATCCCATTCTACCCATGTGTGAACTTGAAGAACCTGTTCAAACATTATCTCTTCCATGAAACCATCCCTAATCTCCTCATCCAAATCCATGGTGATTTTATAAGAAACCAAAAAAGGGATTACATTTACTCAGTTCCTACTTATGTTCTAGGCTCTGTGCCAGGGACTCTGTAGGCATGATCTTATTTAATCAACTTTGCAACAATCTTATGAGGTAGGTGCTATTATTCCCATTTTTGCAAATGGGAAAATGAAAGCTCATATACACTTTAAGCCTAAAGTCTCTCCTAAAACCCCAAAGCTTAAACAAATTCTGTTTAAATTCTCACTGCAATTTATTCATGAAATAATCTTGAGAAACAATGTTTCCTTTATACACGGAGGGTATGAAAGGAAAGGAACCAAGTGGGAGACCTCTTCTTATCAAGGTATGGGAGTAGACTTACTTTTCAAGCCAAAGTAAAGCTTTTGTTTGTGTTAAACACAAGAAATAAACATGTGGTTCATGGCTGAAAGAGGGATGGGGGGGTGGGAGAAGAGAGATTTCTGAAATTTAACAGTTTTACTTTCTATTGCGGTTTTCACCATGATGTGTGGGTTAAGCCAGAGAGACCGTGACTTCTCAGAAAGGTACTGTCTATGGAGCTTATTCCATACAGGCCTCCCTGGCCGCCAGTGGCTCAGGAGGCTGCTTGTATGGAGTTACCTGAGGGGTACTGAAGGGTTTAGCTCTCATAAACTATCTTCTTTCTTGGGCTGTCCACTCAGTGACACCTCCCACAGGGCCAGAGGTTTCTCATTAAGATGACTGAACTGGAAGATGTCACACTTTCAGTCCCTCAGGCCCTGGCTAGGGTAGCTTCTCCGTGGGTGATGCAGTCACCATGTGTGGGAATGGAGTACAGAACAAGTAGTTCTGATCACGTGAGAAGGCATCTAGAACATGGGCACGAGCCGTCTATCAAATGGCGCCTCAAGGAACAGGAAAAGGCACAGCGGGCTTCAGAGCAGGCACCTTTCCCGCTACTAGTTCTCTTTGCAGTAAGATTTAATAATGTGGGGCAAGGGGTGCGGGGGATTACAGATGATTCACATTTAGTCGGATTCTACTGTTGGTCAACAGTGCCTACAAGAGTAACAGACATCTGAGTAAAAATTCATAAAGCAACCAGATATACACCAGCCCTCGTTCCAATATTCAGCTTAGTTTGTTTTAAAAAATCATTAAGTAACAGGTACATGTTTGGGAGAAACAGGCCTCTTCACTGAATAGGCCTCTTGAATTCACACTCTGACAATACCAAAGAGAAGAGAGCAAGCCACAGAATTTTATGGGAAAAAATCTGAATAGGAAGATTCTTTGGGTTTTCACCAGCTTCAAAGTAACAAGGCTGACTGTAGCCCTGGCTACCCAGAATATAATATTCTTTGCTAAAGGCAGATAATCCACTTCAGAGGAAGCAGAAGGATAAAGAGTAATTAAGAGATGTGACTACAGAATCATTAGAATTTCAAAGGGAGAGAGAGGATAACAAGTCAAGTCTCCCACCATTTAAACCTATTGGCCAAAATGAACCTGGCTGATAAAACCTTCTGCTTAGAATCTACCAAAATTTCTTCTGTTTATATCACAGCTTTAGTCCTTTCTCCCCCATTTCCATTTAGATTTCTTTCATCTGCTGAAATATAAAATCAAAGTAAATTTTAATCTGTCCTTAGTAAATAAAATTTAATTTTCTTCTCTGGCCCCTTCACGTAGTCCCTCCTAAACTCTACCTTTTTATTAATTTACCTTAATTACAAAAAGAAATGCACAATTGTAATTAGAAGACACAGAAAAGTTGAAATATTTTTTTTTTAAAGATTCTTATTTATTTATTTGAGAGAGAGTGAGAGAAAGAAAGAGTATGAGTAGGGAGGCGCAGAGGCAGAGGGAGAAGCAGGCTCCCGGCAGAGCAGGGAGCCCAACAGGCGGCTCCATCCCAGGACCCTGGGATCATGACCTGAGCCGAGGCAGACGCTTTACCGACTGAGCCACCCAGGCGCCCCAAAGTAAGTTGAAATATTAAAATCACCAGAAGTCCCAGATATGAATGTTAAAACACACTGGTGCCTATCCTTAGATTCTGTCCAATGTGCATGTACACATGGAACACACGTGTGTGCGACCTGTGTACATGTATACACACACACACACACACACACTCCTGTACTAGGGAACCTGCAGCTTTGGAACATTCCCAGTTACAAGCCCAGGCTCTGGAAAGGGAAGTCCAATCCATCCACCACCAACAGATGGCGACAATGGTTGGTAAGTTATTTTAACATTGGTCATTCTAGTTATAAATTCATTTAAGGCACCATGGGGTAATTTGCAGTGTTGCTGTTA